GCTTTACACTGCCTACGTAAGGCCAGTCTTAGAGTATGCCGCCTCATCATGGAGTCCCCATCTGAAGAAGCATATAATGAAACTGGAAAAGGTTCAGAGGTTTGCAACGAGACTCGTCCCAGAGCTACGAGGGATGGGGTATGAAGAGCGCCTGAGGGAACTGTGCCTTACGACACTAGAAAGAAGAAGGGAGAGGGGGGACATGATAGGAACGTATAAGATACTCAGAGGAATTGACAGAGTGGACATAGACGAAATGTTCACACGGAATAGTAACAGAACGAGAGGACATGGATGGAAGCTTGAAACTCAGATGAGTCACAGAGATGTAAGGAAGTTTTCTTTTAGCGTGAGAGTAGTGGGGAAATGGAATGCACTTCAGGAACAGGTTGTGGAAGCAAATACTATTCATAATTTTAAAACCAGGTATGATAGGGAAATGGGACAGGAGTCATTGCTGTAAACAACCGATGCTCGAAAGGCGGGATCCAAGAGTCAATGCTCGATCCTGCAAGCACATATAGGTGAGTACATATAGGTGAGTGAGTACACGCTGCTGGTCATGGGGGACCTAAATCACGGAGAGATAGATTGGGAAACGAGGAATCCCCATGGCGGGGAAGAGACCTGGGGAGCGAAGCTGGTAGACGTTATTGACAGGAATTTCCTAACACAGCATGTGGAAGAAGATACTAGGGAAAGAGGAGGGGATACGCCCAGCCTATTAGATCTCATTATCACTCAGAATGTAGAAGACATCGAGCAGTTGGAACATGAAATACCACTAGGAGCTAGTGACCATTGTGTCCTAGTCTTTGACTACATGATGGAGTTTAAAATTGTGACCAAAGGACAAGAGGTCCGGGAAAGGAGACTTGATTACAGAAAAGGGGACTACAGAAGGATAAGGGACTACCTGGGAGAAGTGCAGTGGGAGGAAGAACTTAGAGGAAAAACAGTGCAAGGTATGATGAACCAAGTCATATTGAAATGCAAGGAGGCTGAAGATAGATTTATTCCAACAATAAAGGAAAAAAGCAGGAGGGAATATAATAACCCATGGTTTAATAGACAGTGTCAGGAAGCAAAGGTGAGAAGCAGGAGGGAGTGGAGGAAGTACAGAAGACAAAGGACAGAGGACAACAGGATTAGATGTAACAGAGCTAGGAATGATTACATTAACATAAGACGAGTGTCGGAAAGAAATTATGAGAATGATATTGCAGTCAAAGCGAAAAAGCAACCAAAATTACTACATAGCCATATAAGAAGGAAGATGTCGGTAAATGACCAAGTGACAAGACTGAGGAAAACAGAAGGGGCATATACAAAAAGCGACAAGGAAATCTGCGAGGTACTGAATGCAAAATTCCATGGAGTGTTCACAACCGAGCCTGAGCAGCTCCCTTTGTTAGAAGAGATTACCCAAGATGAAAGACTATCAGATATAGAGGTGACAGCAGAGGATGTAATGAAACAGTTGACAACACTGGATGCAAATAAAGCTGTTGGACCAGACAAAGTATCACCGTGGATACTTAAAGAGGCAGCGCAGGCTCTCAGCGTGCCTCTGGCAATGATCTTTAATGAGTCACTTATGTCGGGAGAATTGCCCAGTTGCTGGAAGGAGGCAAATGTCGTACCGATTTTCAAAAAAGGTGATAGGGAGGAGGCACTTAACTACAGACCCGTATCACTGACAAGCATCCCCTGCAAAATACTTTAAAGAATAATTAGGCTAAGACTTGTTGAACACCTGGAGAGCATTGGGTTTGTAAACAAGCACCAACATGGGTTCTGGACAGGGAAATCATGCCTAACAAACCTTTTAGAATTCTATGATAAAGTAACAAGGATAAGGCAGGACAGAGAAGGCTGGGCAGACTGCATATTTCTTGACTGCCAAAAGGCCTTTGATACGGTACCGCACATGAGACTGCTATACAAACTTGAGAGGCAGGCAGGAGTAAGCGGAAAGGCCCTAGTATGGGTGAAGAACTACCTAACAGGAAGGAGCCAGAGGGTAATGGTAAGGGGCGAAAAGTCGGACTGGCGAACAGTAACAAGTGGAGTACCTCAAGGATCGGTGCTGGGACCAATCCTCTTTCTAATTTACGTAAATGATATGTTTACAGGAGTGGAATCATACATGTCAATGTTTGCAGATGACGCAAAATTAATGAGAAGAGTTGTGACAGACGAGGATTGTAGGATCCTCCAAGAGGACTTAAACAAGCTGCAGAGATGGTCAGGGAAATGGCTACTGGAGTTTAACACCAGTAAATGTAAAGTTATGGAAATGGGATCAGGTGACAGGAGACCAAAGGGACAGTACACAATGAAGGGGAACAGCCTACCTGTAACGATTCGAGAAAGAGACCTGGGAGTGGATGTGACACCTAATCTAACTCCTGAGGCACATATAAATAGGATAACGACAGCAGCGTACTCTACACTGGCGAAAATTAGAACTTCATTCAGAAACCTAAATGAGGAAGCTTTTAGGGCACTTTACACTGCCTACGTGAGACCCGTCTTAGAGTATGCCGCACACACACACACAAAGGTTCCAAGCAACACTTAACATTCTCAACGAAACCGCTCTATCTTTCCTCAAAGCATGGCGGCCGTGTTTACATATACCAAGAATTTTAAGAGCTCCGAAGCTCTTATGTGATGGTAACATAACCACGACCCTGAGGCCACGACCACCACCACCCTGAGGCCACGACCACCATAACCCTGAGGCCACGACCACCACAACCCTGAGGCCACGACTACCACCACCCTGAGGCCACGACCACCACAACCCTGAGGCCACGACCACCACAACCCTGAGGCCACGACCACCACAACCCTGAGGCCACGACCACCACCACCCTGAGGCCACGACCACCACCACCCTGAGGCCACGACCACCACAACCCTGAGGCCACGACCACCACCACCCTGAGGCCACGACCACCACAACCCTGAGGCCACGACCACCATAATCCTGAGGCCACGACCACCACCACCCTGAGGCCACGACCACCACCACCCTGAGGCCACGACCACCACCACCCTGAGGCCACGACCACCACAACCCTGAGGCCACGACCACCACAACCCTGAGGCCACGACCACCACAACCCTGAGGCCACGACCACCACAACCCTGAGGCCACGACCACCACAACCACAACCCTGAGGCCACGACCACCACAACCACCACCCTTAGGTCACGACCACCACAACCCTGAGGCCACGACCACCACAACCCTGATGCCACGACCACTACAACCACCACCCTGAGGCCACGACCACAAAAACCCTGAGGCCACGACCACCACAACCCTGAGGCCACGACCACCATAACCACCACCCTGAGGCCGTCACCACAACCACCCTGAGGCCACAACCACCACAACCACCACCCTGAGGCCACGACCACCACAACCCTGAGCCCACGACCACCACAACCCTGAGGCCACGACCACCACAACCCTGAGGCCACGACCACCACAACCCTGAGGCCACGACCACCACAACCCTGAGGCCACGACCACCACAACCCTGAGGCCACGACCACCACAACCCTGAGGCCACGACCACAACAACCCTGAGGCCACGACCACAACAACCCTGAGGCCACGACCACAACAACCCTGAGGCCACGACCACAACAACCCTGAGGCCACGACCACAACAACCCTGAGGCCACGACCACAACAACCCTGAGGCCACGACCACCACAACCCTGAGGCCACGACCACCACAACCCTGAGGCCACGACCACCACAACCCTGAGGCCACGACCACCACAACCCTGAGGCCACGACCACCACAACCCTGAGGCCACGACCACCACAACCCTGAGGCCACGACCACCACAACCCTGAGGCCACGACCACAACAACCCTGAGGCCACGACCACAACAACCCTGAGGCCACGACCACAACAACCCTGAGGCCACGACCACAACAACCCTGAGGCCACGACCACAACAACCCTGAGGCCACGACCACAACAACCCTGAGGCCACGACCACCACAACCCTGAGGCCACGACCACCACAACCCTGAGGCCACGACCACAACAACCCTGAGGCCACGACCACAACAACCCTGAGGCCACGACCACAACAACCCTGAGGCCACGACCACCACAACCCTGAGGCCACGACCACCACAACCCTGAGGCCACGACCACAACAACCCTGAGGCCACGACCACAACAACCCTGAGGCCACGACCACAACAACCCTGAGGCCACGACCACCACAACCCTGAGGCCACGACCACCACAACCCTGAGGCCACGACCACAACAACCCTGAGGCCACGACCACCACAACCCTGAGGCCACGACCACCACAACCCTGAGGCCACGACCACCACAACCCTGAGGCCACGACCACAACAACCCTGAGGCCACGACCACAACAACCCTGAGGCCACGACCACCACCACAAGCCTGAGGCCACTACCACCACCCTGAGGCCACGACCACCACCACAAGCCTGAGGCCACTACCACCACCCTGAGGCCACGACCACCACCCTGAGGCCACGACCACCACCACCCTGAGGCCACGACCACCACCCTGAGGCCACGACCACGAGCCTGAGGCCACGACCACCACCGTCGCTCAACCATCTAGCCCAAGAGGCAGGCCGGATGGATTGAGAGCGAGGGAGGAGGAGAGCAGTGGAGGAGTCTGCAGCCTCCGCCACTACTCTTCCTCCTCTCTCACTCCGTCACAGGTCTAGGGTCGGCAGGGTAGGGGGGAGGGGATTACCCTTACTATCTATTACTAACAATAGGCTGGCCTACCTATCACTCATATCCTGGTGAGTGCATATATGGCGTCAACGGCCTCGGAGACGTTCTGCGGTGGACCGATTATCGACACGTCGTCGATCAAGACGTCTTCCGGAAGGACCTTGATGGTTACCTTAAACTGTTTCTACAGTTTATTTAAGGTCCGCTGTCTTTTTCCTATAAGGTAGCAGCGTTCCTATTAGCATAGCCGGATAACCGTTTTCACCATCTGTACCTTGGCGTTACCTGCTGACGGAACACCGGATTCGCCGCCCGTTTGGGCGTCGTCGGATTCGCCGCCCGTTTGGGCGTCGTCGGATTCGCCGCCCGTTTGGGCGTCGTCGGATTCGCCGCCCGTTTGGGCGTCGTCGGATTCGCCGCCCGTTTGGGTTTGGGCGTCGTCGGATTCGCCGCCCGTTTGGGCGTCGTCGGATTCGCCGCCCGTTTGGGCGTCGTCGGATTCGCCGCCCGTTTGGGCGTCGTCGGATTCGCCGCCCGTTTGGGCGTCGTCGGATTCGCCGCCCGTTTGGGCGTCGTCGGATTCGCCGCCCGTTTGGGCGTCGTCGGATTCGCCGCCCGTTTGGGCGTCGTCGGATTCGCCGCCCGTTTGGGTCGTCGTCGGATTCGCCGCCCGTTTGGGCGTCGTCGGATTCGCCGCCCGTTTGGGCGTCGTCGGATTCGCCGCCCGTTTGGGCGTCGTCGGATTCGCCGCCCGTTTGGGCGTCGTCGGATTCGCCGCCCGTTTGGGCGTCGTCGGATTCGCCGCCCGTTTGGGCGTCGTCGGATTCGCCGCCCGTTTTCGGGCGTCGTCGGATTCGCCGCCCGTTTGGGCGTCGTCGGATTCGCCGCCCGTTTGGGCGTCGTCGGATTCGCCGCCCGTTTGGGCGTCGTCGGATTCGCCGCCCGTTTGGGCGTCGTCGGATTCGCCGCCCGTTTGGGCGTCGTCGGATTCGCCGCCCGTTTGGGCGTCGTCGGATTCGCCGCCCGTTTGGGCGTCGTCGGATTCGCCGCCCGTTTGGGCGTCGTCGGATTCGCCGCCCGTTTGGGCGTCGTCGGATTCGCCGCCCGTTTGGGCGTCGTCGGATTCGCCGCCCGTTTGGGCGTCGTCGGATTCGCCGCCCGTTTGGGCGTCGTCGGATTCGCCGCCCGTTTGGGCGTCGTCGACGTGGGTTTGGGAGTTGTCGAGGAGGGCGGGCAGGGTTCGCCTGTCGTCTCTGGGTGGCTCTCGCTCAAACACTGCCCGGATGAGAATGACCAGTGCTGTCACTGGTGCCATTATCACCAGTGCCAGTCCTACCATCCGTGAGAACCAGTCCACGCCAGGGGAGCTGACAGGTGTCTCACCGTAGCATTAAATCATGCTTTCAAGCAACGCTACTTACCGTAGCGACTGTCGACGCCTTGCTACGGTGCCGAGAAGCGGCAACCATGAGAGAACATTGTCTGTATCCACCATGGCAAGGGGCGAAGGGTCGCAGATGTGTTCAGAAGATACAAGCCGCGTGGTCGATACTATATTCCAAAAGAGTTTCGTCAGGCCACTTGGTCTGGACTTCAAGATTGTAGCCCCTTGATGGTACAGTTTTTCCACATGCTGATGACTCGACTTCTATAGACCATCGAGCCAGATTTACCAGCCAATAAAAAATGAGAACAAACAGATGCGGAGCATAATCCTAGACATTTTCGCCATCTTGTTTACGCCTGAGAAGTTTCAAGGCCTGAAAACACATTAATACCTTATTTGAATGAAGCCTTAACGACTTGGTATAAAGGGTTGTATTAAAATAGTAACCTTCGAATCTCTCTTAGGAAGGTTGGAATTTGTCTCCGTAATGTTGGGATCTCTCTCTCAGTATTGTTGGGATCTCTCTCTCAGTAATGTTGGGATCTCTCTCTCAGTAATGTTGGGATCTCTCTCTCAGTAATGTTGGGATCTCTCTCTCAGTAATGTTGGGATCTCTCTCTCAGTAATGTTGGGATCTCTCTCTCAGTAATGTTGGGATCTCTCTCTCAGTAATGTTGGGATCTCTCTCTCAGTAATGTTGGGATCTCTCTCTCAGTAATGTTGGGATCTCTCTCTCAGTAATGTTGGGATCTCTCTCTCAGTAATGTTGGGATCTCTCTCTCAGTAATGTTGGGATCTCTCTCTCAGTAATGTTGGGATCTCTCTCTCAGTAATGTTGGGATCTCTCTCTCAGTAATGTTGGGATCTCTCTCTCAGTAATGTTGGGATCTCTCTCTCAGTAATGTTGGGATCTCTCTCTCAGTAATGTTGGGATCTCTCTCTCAGTAATGTTGGGATCTCTCTCTCAGTAATGTTGGGATCTCTCTCTCAGTAATGTTGGGATCTCTCTCTCAGTAATGTTGGGATCTCTCTCTCAGTAATGTTGGGATCTCTCTCTCAGTAATGTTGGGATCTCTCTCTCAGTAATGTTGGGATCTCTCTCTCAGTAATGTTGGGATCTCTCTCTCAGTAATGTTGGGATCTCTCTCTCAGTAATGTTGGGATCTCTCTCTCAGTAATGTTGGGATCTCTCTCTCAGTAATGTTGGGATCTCTCTCTCAGTAATGTTGGGATCTCTCTCTCAGTAATGTTGGGATCTCTCTCTCAGTAATGTTGGGGATCTCTCTCTCAGTAATGTTGGGATCTCTCTCTCAGTAATGTTGGGATCTCTCTCTCAGTAATGTTGGGATCTCTCTCTCAGTAATGTTGGGATCTCTCTCTCAGTAATGTTGGGATCTCTCTCTCAGTAATGTTGGGATCTCTCTCTCAGTAATGTTGGGATCTCTCTCTCAGTAATGTTGGGATCTCTCTCTCAGTAATGTTGGGATCTCTCTCTCAGTAATGTTGGGATCTCTCTCTCAGTAATGTTGGGATCTCTCTCTCAGTAATGTTGGGATCTCTCTCTCAGTAATGTTGGGATCTCTCTCTAGGTAATGTTGGGATCTCTCTCTGTAATGTTGGGATCTCTCTCTAGGTAATGTTGGGATCTCTCTCTAGGTAATGTTGGGATCTCTCTCTAGGTAATGTTGGGATCTCTCTCTAGGTAATGTTGGGATCTCTCTCTAGGTAATGTTGGGATCTCTCTCTCAGTAATGTTGGGATCTCTACCTTAATAAGATTCCAACATGAGCCACGACGAGAGGCTAGAGCCGATGAATGTGCCACAGCTGGAACAATCGGAGACAAAGAGGAGAAATGATCACTACATACAAAATAGGAACAGGAATCGACAAGAGTGACAATCGACTCAATAATGGTCCAGGACGGACCAAGCGTCGTCACAGGAGACTTGAGATCGCGCTGGGACCACACCCTACCTAGGAAACAACACGCACGCACACGCGCACACACACCCACGCACACGCATGCACGCATTATAAACAACTTTTTTCAGTGTCAGTAGTTAAGTGGAATACATAAGGTTCTACGGGCTCACCATAGCCCGTGCTACTTGGAACTGCTTGTTCCAAGTAGCGAATCTTTAACAACAATACATAAGGCAGTGATGTGGTGGAGGCTGACTCCATACACAGCTTCAAGTGTAGATATGATAGAGCCCAATAGGCTCAGGAACCTGTACACCGGTTGATTGACAGTTGAGAGGCGGGACCAAAGAGCCAGAGCTCAACCCCCCACAAGCACAACTAGGCTAATACCCATGCGAGTCTCTACGTGATATACACTCACAGGTGTGGAGGGTGTGGGGGGGGGGGGTTAAGGGTGGGTGGTTGTAGATACTGGCGACACTATAGTGCTGTCCTTGAGTGGCGGCTCCTTAATGACTCAACCAGCTATTTCCCCCCTTTGGTGCTGAGAGAACCACTGTAGGGAGGGTGAGGGGGTAGGGAGGGTGAGGGGGTAGGGAGGGTGAGGGGGTAGGGTGGGTGAGGGGGTAGGGAGGGTGAGGGGGAGGGAGGGTGACGGGGTAGGGAGGGTGAGGGGGTAGGGAGGGTGAGGGGGTAGGGAGGGTGAGGGGGGGTAGAGGGGTGTAGGGGGGTGAGGGGGGGGGTAGGGAGGGAGGGTGAGGGGGTAGGGAGGGTGAGGGGTAGGGAGGGTGAGGGGGTAGGGTGAGGGGGTAGGGAGGGTGAGGGGGTAGGGAGGGTGAGGGGTTAGGGAGGGTGAGGGAGGGTGAGGGGGTAGGGAGGGTGAGGGGGTAGGGTGGGTGAGGGGGTAGGGAGGGTGAGGGGTAGTGGGGAGGGTAGGGGGGTAGGGAGGGTGAGGGGGTAGGGAGGGTGAGGGGGTAGGGTGGGTGAGGGGGTAGGGAGGGTGAGGGGGGTAGGGAGGGTGAGGGGGTAGGGAGGGTGAGGGGGGTAGGGAGGGTGAGGGGGTAGGGAGGGTGAGGGGTAGGGAGGGTGAGGGGGTAGGGAGGGTGAGGGGGTAGGGAGGGTGAGGGGGTAGGGAGGGTGAGGGGGGTAGGGAGGGTGAGGGGGCAGGGAGGGTGAGGGGTAGGGTGGGTGGGGGTAGGGAGGGTGAGGGGGTAGGGAGGGTGAGGGGTAGGGAGGGTGAGGGGTAGGGAGGGTGAGGGGTAGGGAGGGTGAGGGGGGTAGGGAGGGTGAGGGGGTAGGGAGGGTGAGGGGTAGGGAGGGTGAGGGGTAGGGTGGGTGAGGGGGTAGGGAGGGTGAGGGGGGGAGGGTGAGGGGTGAGGGGGGTAGGGGGTGGGTGAGGGGTAGGGTGGGTGAGGGGGAGGGGGTAGGGAGGGTGAGGGGGTAGGGTGGGTGAGGGGGTAGGGTGGGTGAGGAGGGGTAGGGAGGGTGAGGGGGGTAGGGAGGGTGAGGGGGTAGGGAGGGTGAGGGGGTAGGGGGGTAGGGGGTGAGGGGGGGGTAGGGAGGGTGAGGGGGTAGGGAGGGTGAGGGGGTAGGGTGGGTGAGGGGGTAGGGTGGGTGAGGGGGTAGGGAGGGTGAGGGGGTAGGGAGGGTGAGGGGGTAGGGAGGGTGAGGGGGGGGAGGGAGGGTGAGGGGGGGTAGGGAGGGTGAGGGGGGGTGGGTGGGTGAGGGGGTAGGGAGGGTGAGGGGGTAGGGAGGGTGAGGGGGTAGGGAGGGTGAGGGGGTAGGGAGGGTGAGGGGTAGGGTGGGTGAGGGGTAGGGAGGGTGAGGGGGGTAGGGAGGGTGAGGGGGTAGGGAGGGTGAGGGGGTAGGGAGGGTGAGGGGTAGGGAGGGTGAGGGGGGTAGGGAGGGTGAGGGGGGGTAGGGAGGGTGAGGGGGTAGGGAGGGTGAGGGGTAGGGAGGGTGAGGGGTAGGGAGGGTGAGGGGAAGGGAGGGTGAGGAGGGGTAGGGAGGGTGAGGGGGGTAGGGAGGGTGAGGGGTAGGGAGGGTGAGGGGAAGGGAGGGTGAGGGGGGTAGGGAGGGTGAGGAGGGGTAGGGAGGGTGAGGGGTAGGGAGGGTGAGGGGTAGGGAGGGTGAGGGGAAGGGAGGGTGAGGAGGGGTAGGGAGGGTGAGGGGTTAGGGAGGGTGAGGGGTAGGGAGGGTGAGGGGAAGGGAGGGTGAGGAGGGGTAGGGAGGGTGAGGGGGTAGGGAGGGTGAGGGGTAGGAAGGGTGAGGGGTAGGTAGGGTGAGGGGGTAGGGAGGGTGAGGGGGAGGGGGGTAGGGAGGGTGAGGGGGTAGGGAGGGTGAGGGGTAGGGAGGGTGAGAAGGTAGGGAGGGTGAGGGGGTAGGGAGGGTGACGGGGTAGGGTGGATGAGGGGGTAGGGTGGATGTGGGGGTACGTGGGTGAGGGGGTAGGGTGGGTGAGGGGGTAGGGTGGATGAGGGGGTTATCTTGAGATGATTTCGGGGCTTTAGTGTCCCCGCGGCCCGGTCCTCGACCAGGCCTCCACCCCCAGGAAGCAGCCCGTGACAGCTGACTAACACCCAGGTACTTATTTATTGCTAGGTAACAGGGGCATTCAGGGTGAAAGAAACTTTGCCCATTTGTTTCTGCCTCGTGCGGGAATCGAACCCGCGCCACAGAATTACGAGTCCTGTGCGCTATCCACCAGGCTACGAGGCCCCTACGGGTAGGGAGGGTGAGGGGGTAGGGAGGGTGACGGGGTAGGGAGGGTGAGGGGTAGGGAGGGTGAGAGGGTAGGGAGGGTGAGAGGGTAGGGAGGGTGAGAGGGTAGGGAGGGTGAGGGGTAGGGAGGGTGAGGGGGTAGGGTGGGTGAGGGGGTAGGGAGGGTGAGGGGGTAGGGAGGGTGAGGGGTAGGGAGGGTGAGGGGTAGGGAGGGTGAGGGGGTAGGGAGGGTGAGGGGGTAGGGAGGGTGAGGGGGTAGGGAGGGTGAGGGGGTAGGGAGGG